TGACTAGAACCAGAAAATCTGAGCATATTACACCAGTCCTCAGGTCCTTACACTGGCTTCCAGTTATATTTAGGATTGATTTTAAAGTACTTTTACTCATTTATAAATCACTCAATGGCCTAGGACCTAAATACATAGCAGATATGTTCACTGAATATAAACCTAACAGAGCACTCAGATCATTAGGATCGAGTCAGTTAGAAATACCAAGGGTTCACACAAAACAAGGGGAGTCTGCTTTTACTTATTATGCCGTCCGCAGTTGGAATCGGCTTCCAGAAGAGATCAGATGTGCTAAAACATTAGTCACATTTAAATGCAGACTCATAACTCATCTGTTTAGCTGTGCATTTATTGAATGAGCACTGTGCGATGTCCGAACTGATTGCACTATATTTTATGTATAATCGTTTTCTATTCTTAACCGTTTTAAATTCATTTTAAACCTCTTAAATCAATTTTTTTATCATTTTCAAAGTTTTTAAATTCCTTGTTTTATTATTGTGATTATTTTTTTCTTTTCTTTTATGTAAAGCATTTTGAATTACCATTGTGTATGAAATGTGCTATATAAATAAACTTGCCTTTCCTTTCCTTATAATACATCAATGATGATGTAGATCTTAATAAACGTTTTGATCTTTAGGACTTCTTGAAAGGGTATTTTAAAAAGGTGGAGTGTCTTTTGTTAATCTTGATGACAACTCAACATCTTGAACACTCTCGTCTTTGGTTCACAGTAATTGAGCTAACACTCTCTAAATGTAAATTAGAATAAAATGTTAAATACTGCTGCTCATGTCATGTTTAAAGGACAATATTTAAAAATAAGAAGAAGAAGAACGTACAGGTGGGTGCAGTATCCATGTTCTCTAGCATAGGGCGTACAGGGGGCAAATACAACACATCACTTTGTACACTACAGTATAAACATTTGCACAGCCTTGTTTGTTCTTAGTTTTTTTACGATTGCTTACACACTAAAATAAAAAATAACACAGTTAGTGAAACCTTACACTCAAAGAGCAAAATCTCAGCCCAAATCTGCACAACTATAAGCACATTCTCAGCCTCCCAGTTTTTGCAAAACATTACACACGTAATATTGCAAGATACTAAACACACTTCTCTACATTAGACACAGAAATCTAACATGATGTCACTTCTTTGCCATTTTAAGGCACTGCTTTCCAAAATACTACACATATGAACTAATCGATCAAACACGGCCATCAGGTGTGCAGACACTTAGGTGCTTAACTGTAAACTCAACAATCAAGGTGTAAGCACTATAAAAAGGCAACAGGTGAATTTTTGTCTTCAACAGAAATGAAAGGCAGTGGTGCAGGAAGAGGAATAGGGAGAAACATCTTTGGCCACAGAGCTCTTTTGAATGTCCCGGGTCAATGTGGTGGTAACATCACAATATATGCTGCAATCATGCAGAATAGGGTTCTCCACCGGCATGCCAAAATAGGTCCTTACAACATCGACCACATACTCACGTTTTTACAGTTTTTTACGATTGCTTAAGCACAATTTTGTTTGGCTGAACTCTCAGTCCAGCCTCCCTCAGCGTCAAGCCGTGGTTCACAACATGGTCCACCAGTGTTGCACGAATGTCATTTGATAAGTTGGTCCTCTTCTTCTTTGTGCACATTCTCCTCCTGCTTCAGGTCTTCCTCGGCCTCTGCCTCTTCCTCTACCTCCTTCTCCTCCTCCTCCTCTGTGTACTCCTCCTCTCACCCTCACTCTTCTTCTGACTCCTTCCATTTTGGTTGAAGGCAGGTGAACCTACCTGCTGCATTTTTATAGTGCTTAAACCTGATTGGTGTGTCTACAATTTAGCAATCATGTGTTTGTGCACCTGATGGCTGTGTTTAACAGATTGGCTCATAGGTGTGGTAATTTGACAGTCAGTGCTTTGGAATTGCAAGGAAGTGACATCATGATATACTTCTGTGTCTGATGTATACAAGTGTGTTTAGTGTTTTGCAAATCACTGTGTGTAATGTTTTGCAAATAGTGTGAAGCTGACAATGTGCTTACAGTTGTGCAAATCTAGCCTTGTGTTTTGCTCCTTGAGTGTAAGGTTTTGCTAATTGTTGGAAAAGTTTAATTTTAGTGTGTAAGCAATCGTAAAAAACTGTAAGTATTGTACAGACTAAGTATCTTGTTCCATCATTCCAGTACCTCCCACAACACACTCCCTTTCCTTTTTCCCTTCTGCATGCAAGTAGAAGGTTTATGACCTCCGACCATATGTTCAAGTTATGGAGGATGCCTGTGACCTAATAGATGCAGAGTCTTTGTAAGGATGGATTCACCATTCGTGAAGATTCTTCCCTCGCTGTCCTGTGAGGGAGGACATTGACTGTGATATGGATGAATTGGCCATATCCAGCTAGACGAAGAGATGATGCTAAGGTGTTTTTTTCTCATCTCCACAAAAGTTTATGAACTACTGTATATTGTATTTGGAATATGTTCTGATTTTCAGTGCAAAATGCAGCCTAATTGCAATGATGTACTGAATGATTTTACAATATGGTGAGAAATAAATATTTTCATAGATGTGCAGTACTTGCCTCATGTGTTGTGTTTAGTCAATATATTCATGTACTTTAACAATACCTAAAAAATAAAAAAAAAAAAAGTGCTTCATTTTGCAAAAGATCTGAGATGTTCTGATATTTGTGTGTGTGGATGTGTGAATTGTGTGTAGTGTTTTGACAAAATGAGCCTTGTTTTTAAATTGGGGCTAAGCAATCGTAAAAAACTCCTTACAATATAAGGACTTCATATATAAAGTTCGGAAGGAGCATGTTCATCTGATCATAATGGTATTTTAAAGGCTGCTTACCTCACTTCTGTGGTCATCCTTCAACCACTAACTCCACTGTTGTTTATGTTCACCTCTATTAGTGTTGCACAATATAAAAGTAATTAAAATAGTCCATGGGGTACGACTATATGTAACCTTAAACGGATACACGTCACCTTTTTTGTCACATGACTTGTTTTTAAAGAATAAGAGACAGATTTTGCTGTGAGAAACATTACATATGTTAGGTAAACGAACTAGCATGAAACGTAGCAAGTCGTAAACACATCAAATGTCTTCAAATGTCTGTGTCTGTGTCTGTGTGTGTGTGCGTGTGCGTGTGCGTGTGCGTGTGTGTGTGTAGTCTATTTAATTATTAAAAAATAAAGTTAATGATCAACATTTTTTAGACTTTTTCTAAGACTTTTATATTTTACCCTGTTCATTGCTTGAGTTCAGTTTTGGGTTCAAGCTCTCCATCAACAGCAAGCCTTATATCGCACAAGGATTAAACTCAATAAACAAAAAAGGAACACTAAAATAGTATGTTTGTACCTGTACACAGGGGCGTTGCACAAGATCCCGGGCCCTATGCATAGGCAGTCCTGATGGGCCCCCATGCCCCCCCCCCATACTAAAAGGGCCCTCTCTTCCTCTGGGGCCCTGGTAATCAGTACTGGTTTTACCCCCAGTCTGACGCCCCTGCCTGTACATTATGTACCATGTCCCAGTGTTATTACAGTTTTTCTGAATTGCTAAAACACATTTCTTGAAACCATTACTCATTTTCCCAAAACCTTAACAATGGAGAACACAGCATCCAGAACATTACAAGAAAAAAAGTATATTGTATTGAGAAAACAATTTAGCAATTCTGTACAAAAAAATTTATAGTAATTGCAACTGAGTAAGGTGACTATATTATATAGGCCTACTGTATGTACTGCAAGAATAGTATTGTGCTGAATATTGAATAGTACTGAATGTTTGTATATATTCAGCACTTGGATACTGCAAAAATACTGCAGTACAACTGCAAAGGCCAAAAAGGTCAAATAAAACTAAATGAATAGCATGTTACAGTACACTCAAATACTTTAAGTTGTGCAATTGTAAAATCAGGATCAATGAGAGATTCATTCTGTCTCAGCGTCATGTTTTTGTGCTTGAGTCCGGCCTGAGGACTTTGTCCACATCACAAGTAATGTTTTTTTTTTGCTAGACAAAGAGAAAAAATAGCACTTGATAGCACTCTCTAAACCTTACTCTTTCTCTCCTCATCCTCCACTTCTTACATGTACTCTTCCTCCTCTCCTTCTCAGATTGTTTCCATCTATTGTTCGTATCATCGTTTAGTCTCCTGTGCCACTTGTGCACTCTGAACTGGCTCATATTTTGTACAGTTGGTTTGATCACATCAGAAACAAGTGTGAACAATTTTGAATCGTTGTGTGTAAACGATGACAACTGTGCTTTAGTTGTGTTTAACTTTTGCCGCTTGTGTTTAGCATTTTGCAGCACAAATGCATCACAGTGTGATAAGTGTTTAAGTGAAACAGAATGTGTTTAGAGTTTTGCAAAAAGAGTGCATGAGATTTGCAAATAGAGCCTAACTGCCTGAACGTGTTTAAGGTTTAGCAGAAAGAGTGCTTTATTCGGCAAATTGGTTTAAGCTAGTGAGAATTTGGTTCAGAGTTTGGGGTTTAGTGTTTTAGCAATTCAGAAAAACTGTAACAAACATTGCTTTTCTATGCTTTGCTTTTGAGCCTTACTTAGCCCTCTATGGGAAAATTGCATTTACAATACAATAATAATGTTCAACCAATACAATTTAATTTTAGTAATGTTAAAATAACATCCCCTTCAGCCAGTAAACTTATAATCTATTTGCCATGTGCTTCACATTTTTGGCAACAAGAGGAGACATGGTTAGGTCACATGCTTTTAAGGCACCTTAGTGAGCTCATTTTAGACTAGAAAATACATATAAATTCAATTTAAAAATAGCATTGTACATCCAAATGTTTTTTCTAAAGTCTTTTGTCATTTTTAATGCATATTCATTAATACAATAACTCAAAAGACCAAAAAATGAGTGTGTCATGCATAAATGACAAAGTCATTTTATGAGATATATATTTTGTGGAGCTGGCACAATTGACCAGTACTGGAATACAGTATAAATGCCTTTATGCTTGTGTTTTAGGTTGATGTTTGTACATTTTTCAGGATAAATCTGTACCTATTTCAAAAGGTATTGATGATAGTGATAGGAGAGCACCAGAATATGAGGCTGTATTAATAAAATACAGCTGGGAGTGTGTGTGTGTGTGTGTGTGTGTGTGTGTGTGTGTGTGTGTGTGTGTGTGTGTGTGTGTGTGTGTTAATAATAATAATAATAAAGACAGCATTCTGACATTAGCAGCAACTGAACACCTGAACCTCAGCGAGGGGAAACACACACACACACACTAGTGATCTTGATCCATCAGAGTCTCTGACAGGAAGTTCATGATTCCCAGAGGCAAACAGGACTGTCATGTGACCAGCTCTTCCTGTAACGAGACAGACATGAAATATCATTGCAGTAATCTAACATTATAGACCGCTTCCGTGTGTGTGTGTGTGTGTGTGTGTGTGTCAGACTGACAAGCAGTGTTTTTACAGGACAAGTGCTCACAGCTGACACTGCTGTGTGTCTAACAAACAGAGAAGAGATGAGACTACCAGAGGTTCTGAGATTGGATAAGAAGAGCAATTCCTATGGGATGAAGGTCACTCCTTCTCCATCTGTTTATGGAAGATGCCCAGAGTCTGGAATGAATGCTTGGTTTCATTGGATACGCTAAAGCAGCAGCAGGCAGACATCCATCTACCTTTGTCTCTATTTCAATAACCATTCTTAAACTCGAAGCATTCATTAATTGTATAAAACTGTTTTTGTGTCATAATGCAACGCAACCCATCAAAAACATTCAAAATTACTCACCCTCAAATATGTTGGTGGATTTTGATGTGAGAAAACAACACACTGTAAATCCCAACTCATTCATGACACTAAATTTTAGTGTAGAGTGTATACAAATATTCAGAAATGTTAAATATTTTCACTTCACACAAAAACATATCCCATATTAGCGTGACAATTTTTTTTAATTTTAAATCAACAATTGTTGATTTTAGAGTTGCATTCAGTGTATTCAATGTTTTTATCTTATAAGATAAGAAAAACAAAGTGATGAGATAAAATGGCAACAATGCCAAAATGCATTACTGTTAAGGGATTTTTTAATTTTTTAGGGAAAAAATTGTTTTTTTCATGTCTTTACATTGTTAGGAGCATATAAAAATGTAAAAAATGTTTTTTCATTCATAAGTTATGCTATGTCCTCGGTAAAGGACATCGGGACTCAATTAAAAAAAAAAAAAAAAGGACATGAATGAACATGCATAGGCTAAAACAATAGATTTTTTAAATCACTAATACATTTTTAGTTTTCAGGATTTTTTTTTTTTTTACCAAACTTTGTATAAAGATGATTCTCAACTATGTTATAACATAATTATTTGATATGCCATTTTTCTTTATGCAAAATGTGTGTAAAATGTCCATAACCGGGTTTTCTCATTATATACAATGTATCTATAAACTAAATCTAATTTGCATATTAATGTGTTTTTGGGGCAACATGTAATGAAAAAAGAAGTGTAATAATGGGAGTAATATTTGACAAGATTTTCATAATAATATATAATATTTCATAGAATATAGAAATATAATTTCTTTCCCTGTTCATTTGTTATGTCTCGAGGTAAAAAGAGAAGAGATTGCTATGACAATTTAAAATATTTAATTGAACCAACAATGATTTGGTAAACTAAACTAATTATTGTTAATAATAATAATAATAATAATAAATTAACAAAAGTAATTCATTTGACATTAAAATTACATAAAAAACTATGTATTTATTTATTTATTTTGACATAATAGTAACCTATAGGTCTATAAAACAGAACACGCACACGTTGTTATAGTATTAGCTATGAATGTTATTATTCAAAAGTAACAGGTCATGCATTTCAATCATTCTAACTGTAACTTTTTTTTTTTATTGCAGAGAACGGAAACATACAAAGAATAAACATACATCACATAATATCAACCACAAAAATAAAATGGAAACAAATCACAAAAAGAATAACATAAAAATAAAGATAAGAGGGCCATCATCTAAACATGATTACATGAAGAGATCAAAGGCAGAGCAAATCCTAACAGTCCTTATAGCTTTCTTATTAGTAGATACTGAAATTACATTCAAATCATTTTCCATTTCTTTTAGGAAGACAGAGAAGACAGGTTTACAGTTGGAAAATTTGCATTTGTGAATGTGAAATTTGCTTAGGAAAAAAATTAAATGAATAACAAAACAGATATTTTCGTTTAGGAGTCATAATACCCAAATATAATGTTTTTCATATGTACTGAGAAACCTGGCAAAATCTTACACTTGGCAAACACACCAATATCACCCCAAAACGTCTGAGTGTAGTGACATGACCAAAATAAGTGTACCAGTTTCTTCAGAATTCGAACAAAAAGAGCATGTAAGCTCGATGTCAGATTTAAATCTTTGTATAAACTTCTTTACAGGGTAGAACCTGTGTATGAGCTTAAAATAAATTTCTTTCACTTTGTTTGTGAGAAAGAATTTTTGCTGTAGAGACCAGATTTTTTTCCAATTAAGGTTAACAAACAAATTATTCCAAAAGGAAATCACAGGTGGAGCAGAAATCAGACTCGTAAGAAATAAAGATCGTATTTTATTATTTTTGGCTTTCAACTCAGAGAAACAAATTTGACCAACAGGAGTATCACAAGGAGTAGATACTGATGAGTATCACAAGCAGTAGATACTGATGAGTAATTACAGTTTTTAAAAAGCATACATAAACCAGAGGGGATGTATTTTTGACAGCAATATCCTCAACTGAAGTAAGAGAGCAATCTTTAATTGGTAGCAATTCGCATTTGTTAAAGTTTAAATTTAATCCCGAAGCTTCAGAAAAAGACTGAAGAATACCCAAAGCCAATGGAATTGGTGACGAATCATTCAACAATAAAGCTGTATCGTCCGCTAATTGACTCATTTTTATTTTAATGTTGCCAATTGTGATACCCTTTAACTGACTATTGTTGATATGCGTGCTAAGAAACTGTGTTGCAATTAGGAACAGGTAAGGGGAAACTGGACATCCTTGTCGAACTCCTCATTTTAAAAAGAATCTAGGTAAGTACCATTACTTAATTTGATAGAGCTGTTTCCGTTTATGTACAGCATTTGGACCATCCTGCAAAAAGCATCGCCAAAGCCAATTTTTTGTAGAGCCTGAAATAAAAATTTGTGTTCCAATGTGTCAAAAGCTTTGTAATATTCTAACTGTAACTTACATCTCTGCATGAGCCCCCTGTGACGTCACGAAACAATTAGAACGTGTCACATGTTAGTATTTAAAGGCTTGGAACTCATTAGCTCAATTTGTTGGTTGAAGTTTCGGAGTATTCTGTTTTCAGAGTGAAAAAAAGCTGTTATCATGGGACTGTTTTCACGACTAAATAAAGTGTTTAAAGTGGAGCGAGCACACGAATCCCAACCCTGTGTGCCGCTCAAATACACGCCCACCACGGCACAAAACCATCCTCGTCAGCTCGATAAGACGCCTGGTGGTGCTGATGCGATAGATGAAGGGAGAAAGGAGGCAGGGAGAAAAGAGAAAAAGAAGAAGAGCTTTTGGAGATGTCGCCTTCTTCACTTTTTTTCGCCGAAGAGCTGGAACATACAACGTTGCTAAAGCTGAGAAAGTGAACCTTGAGGCGGGATCGTTTCTGAGACTTACTGATGGTAAAAACATATGATGATAGAAGTTTAGATTAAAGTGCGATTCTTAAAACTTCTATTGTTCTTGTGTACAACAAAAATCACTGGCCCAGAACAAAAATAAATAAATAAAAATAAACTACGTAGACACATTTAAAAACAAATTAATTCAAATAAATTAATTAAAATGACAAAAACACTTTAACATCAAAATTAAAATTACAAAATAAAATATTTTATTAATGTTAATAACAGTATCTCAATGATAATAAAATAACTTCTGATTCTTAAGATAGCTTAAGGTGTCATTATCAAAACAGTCAATATTTGTGAATGTTAATTCACAAATAAATAGATTTACATTGTCTAAAAGAATTTGAATTTATCAATATTTTTTACTCATCTTTTATATTAAACATTGCTATTGTAGAGCTCCATGATCATCAAGAATCTCCAGCTTCTGAAGTCCTCTCTGCTGTAGAAGAGCAGCTGGAGCAGGACATCCTCCAACATCAGGACATCCACACTCCAGTTAGTTTGACTGAAGAGGACAAAGCGGAAGAGCTGGACAAGGGTATGATTACTGCCATAATCTAAAACAATGCACACATTCTCCCATTCTCAGTTTTTCAAAATGAAGAACCACTCTAATTTGAGTATGCAATATTTCATTCATATTATTTATGTGATTTGATTAATATTATTGGTATTCTCCTCTTTAAATTTTAAATTTACTGCCTTAATCCAGTTCTCACTTTCCCAGTTAAACAAATCGATTTACATTGTTTGGAGATGTTTATTTATTTATATTTTTGTCCAAAAGTGCCCTTAAATGAAAAATTACCGTAATTTGAAAAATTACCATAATTTGAGTATGCAATATTTTATTCATTTTATTGGTATTCCCCACTTTAGATCAGACTTCTCTACAACACATCCCTATTGTAGAGATCCACGATCTTCATGAAGCTCCAACCTCTGAAGTCCTCTCTGCTGTAGAAGAACAGCTGGAGCAGGACGTCCTCCAACATCAGGACATCCACACTCCAGTTAGTTTGACTGAAGAGGACAAAGCGGAAGAGCTGGACAAGGGTAAGATTACTGCCCATAATCTAAAACAATACACACATTCTCACATTCTCAGTTTTTCAAAATGAAGAACCACTCTAATTTGAGTATGCAATATATCATTCATATTATTTATGTTATTTGATTCATATTATTGTTATTCCCCTCTTTAGATCAGACGTCTCTACAGCAAATTGTAGAGATTCATGATCTTGGAGAAGCTCCAGTCTCTGAAGTCCTCCCTGCTCCTGAGGAACAGCTGGAACAGGACGTCCTCCATCCTCTCTGCTGTAGAAGAACAGCTGGAGCAGGACGTCCTCCAACTTCAGGACATCCACACTCCAGTTAGTTTGACTGAAGAGGACAAGGCGGAAGAGCTGGACAAGCGTAAGATTACTGCCCATAATCTAAAACAATACACACATTCTCACATTCTCAGTTTTTCAAAATGAAGAACCACTCTAATTTGAGTATGCAATATTTCATTCATATTATTTATGTGATTTGATTAATATTATTGTTATTCCCCTCTTTAGATCAGACGTCTCTACAGCAAATTGTAGAGATTCATGATCTTGGAGAAGCTCCAGTCTCTGAAGTCCTCCCTGCTCCTGAGGAACAACTGGAGCAGGACATCCTCCAACCTCAGGATGCCCACACTCCAGATAGCTCCACTGGAGAAGATGAAGCAGAGGAGGCAGACAACAGTAAGAATAATGAATACATGAGAATTACAAAGTGTGATTCAAAATTATAAAATGCATGAAAAAATAATGCTCAACATTCGTTTATCTTTTAATAGGCCACATTTTTTGGCAATATGAATTCGGCCACAAGCTGGGTGAAGGAGGCTATGTGCATGCAGGAACTCGATGCAAGGACGGCCTGAAGGTTTCAATTGTTTTACTTACAAAACTTTCCATACCTGTTTAGTATTCATGACTGGAATGATCTCTGTGCACATGCTAATTGTTAATTCTTTGTTTTGTTGATCAGGTGGCTGTGAAAATTGCTGACAAGACACCAGATATGCCATATATCAGAGTTGTAAGTTGCCTGTGCTCTCTATATTACTGCTTCTCAGTCACTGTTTTCAGTTTCTAACATTTTATATTCTTGTTAATCTGAGAAAGCAACTCCATCTAAGCATCATATGTCCTTTCTTTTAGCCTGGTCATCCCAAACGGCTCCCCATAGAGATCGGCCTGACACTCATGGCCAATAAGGGCCCCAGTGTTTCACAGATAATTAAACTCCTGGACTGGCAGGACGACCCGGACCACTACGTCATGGTCTTGAAGCGGCCCATGCCTAGCATGAGCATGTTTAACTTCGTGAAGCTCCGACAAAGGCTTGATGAGAAGATGGCACGACATGTTATGTGGCAGGTCATTCATGCCACTAACATTTGCTGCGAGCGTGGCGTTTTCCATCGTGATATAAAACTGGAGAACCTCCTGGTGAACCCGGACACGTTGGAGGTCAAGTTGATCAACTTCGGGTGCGGCACGCTCATGAAGGACTCCGCCTACATGGCCTTCAATAGTATGTTTTATGATTTGCTAGCAGGTTATTTAGCTCACTGAACACATTCTGCTTGTAGAAATGCATTAAATATTAAAATCTCTTCCTTTAGGCACAAAAACGTTCTGTCCACCGGAGTTTGATGTCGACGGCAGGTACCACGCAAAGCCGGCGACAGTTTGGTCATTAGGGTTCCTGCTGTTCGTGATGTTGTACGGGTATTATCCAGATGACAAAGACCTGCAGAGGCTCAGTAAGAAGGACTGGTCTGAACCTGACCTGTCACAAGGTGAGATCTTCATCAAAGAACAAAGTTGGACAATTTGAATTCTAAATATGAAAGTATGCCATTTGAAATCTAAATATAAAAGGTGTAACATATAAGGAAATAATCAGACATCTCTCTCATCTGTTTGAACAGAATGCTGCCAGATGATCTGCGATTGTCTGCAGCCTGATCCGCAGCAGAGACTTATCCTGGAGGAGATGCAGCTCCATGACTGGTTTATGGTAAGATTAGAGTCTAAGATTTGCTAAATGTTTGTTCATATAATCAGTCACATTTGCTCTACATGTAATATATTTAGATAAATAAGTTAATTATGTTAAGGTTTTGTTTCAGGTCATGGAGTAAGACATGGAGAGCAACAAAAACAACTCAGTCACAGCCACTCTGTTGTTTTCTATCTTTGGTCAGCTTTGCGTCTGGCAGGCTGACATGAGTGGCCTTTCCATCTCTCCGCTTTGGCCTTGGCGTCTTGCATCATAGTAGCGCCTGGCACCTTGAAGCGGCATTATTTAGATATTTGTATTAAGTATTAAGATATTTGTGTTTGTGTTAAGATATTTATAAGGAATTTTATAAGAAAATGTGTACTTTTTGTAAGTATATTAATAGCATAATAGTAGAATAAATATATTAATAGAATAATAATTATAATATAATATAATATTAAGTATTAAGATATTTGTATTAAGATATGTTTGCACTATGTGTTATATTAGCAGAGAGTGACTGTAAATTGGACATTTTTCTTTCTCCTAACTGCTGTAATCGATCTCTGTATCTATATATTAAAAAAAATAAATAATCAAAACGTTTGGTGCGACAAAGTCTTCCATTCACCACTATACACTCATCTATGACGTCCAGTGTACACAAATACTCATAAATGTCAAAATGACATAAAAATTGTTCACTTCACATAAAAACAAATCCCATGTTAGCCTGATAGAATTTTTGATTTAACTGTACTAAGATTTCTAAAGCACATTTAGCCTAATGTGTATATGTTCAATTGACAACACATACATTGTGCACTTAGCATACGATTTAACAGTCGACTGAACATGTAGTTTTTATGTAGTCATTTCTGTACTCAATAAAATTCTGTTCATTTTATATAGAGAAACAACATAGACCAAAACGAACATCATTCCCAAGACAAAAATTCACCCTCATAAGTGAGTATTGAGCACCGAACTTATTCTGCTTTAGCATTTAGCACAATTTAGCATAATTTTTCTTTCCTGTCCGCAACCCTATTAGAACAAACCTTAAACATACCACTTGAGAACCACAGATTTAAGATAAATTGGTGATTCAGTCTTGCATTTATTCAAAGCAGATAAAGGCTCTTGAAGAAAATTATCGCCTCAGAGAAGTAGCACAACTGGGATTTTTTTTAGTTTTAAATAATTTAATACTTTTTAAAATTATTTGGTTTACTACATTTGACCTGTGTATCACACTAAACATACAAAATAACAAGAAATAGTTAATCCATAATCCATTAAATGATCCATTGATAGTGTAACTGTGACCCTTCTATGTGAATGGAGAGCCAAACTCCGGGGTACGGCTCAAACTACCCAACGACAGAGTAGCACAGACGGAGGTCCATTGTGTACAGCACCTAAAACACCCTTTACACTATTAACATCTTTTCAGGTACACTTGAACACAATTCCAACTCATTTAAATGGATGTTTTTGTACAGCAGGTCAGAAATAATGGAGATATTTAGATACAAACATTTAGAAACAAATCAAACTCCCGGTTATCTCGCTTGTGTGTTAAATGAAAAGAGGAGAATCGCTGAAATCAATGAATACACAGCAAAGTGCCAAGATTCTCGTAATCGCATCAGGATAACAAAGAGCTAGGTAGTCAGAGATCTGGATTTCAGTCCGTCGGTTTAACAGGAGCCGGTTGGGTTTTATCGCGATCGTTTTCAGGAAGATTGCTGTAACCATTGAGCTCCGGCTGCTCATATATTATTTCCTACAAACATCCTGGAACACAAAAGCTATGTCAAAGTGAAATTGCACCACCAACAATTTGGTATTAAACATTAAAATTTGTTTCAATAAAAATAAAAAACAACAAGAATAAAACCCTACAGGCATAAAAAAATATTCCTCTTTTTGTTTTCATGATACATTTCAAGGACACTAAGTTTAATTCACATCAAGTGTAGAACATCTCAAAGCAGAAGCACTAAATTCACTCACAAGCTTGAGTTTGAGTCATCAGTCTAAATTCAATCATAAGCTTGAGTTGAACTATTTGTTTGACACGGATACACTGTGCACTGCAGCTCTTTAGGGAAATTGATTCTCATGTATTTTGTGCAGAGATTCCTTCTCTGAATGTAAACTGAGCTCCTAGCTCGTCTTGAACTATTTACCGCAGCATGTTACCACAGACACACGTCCAAGAGATTGATCACATTCACGATAATAATATGAAATCAGTGCTGAGGCAGCACAGAATATTGCACGTTCAAACGCTTGAGACACAATTGTACTCTGTACAGTATGTACACAATATCTGTGCTCTGTGTCTCCAGAGGGAGTGTGCGTTATGCGAGGCATTTCTCTCTCCCCTCCACTGAGTCGGGTCAGGGTTGATCTATGTGGTTTTGGATGGGCTTTGTAGAGTTTCTTTGGGATTTTGAGTTTCAAGAATTGCACTTCACTTATTTTGTATCACTTAGAAGACTTTAAGAAAGACAAAAGACCCATCCAAAAGCCCTGAAACATGCAGTATGTTTAACTTGTACAATTATGTTTTTAGTCATATAGCTTTTTAAATGTTTTTATGTTAATTGATTCCTGTAGTATTTTATTGCACTTTCATAATGCAATCAAATGTTCTTCAGAAATGTGTTCATCATCTAACGCTATCATTTGTTACAGGAATATTTAGCAGTCAGACATCTCCGATAATCTATAGTGTACATCCCGTGGAAAAAAATCAGGAAGCTTGTCATTGCCAAATTAAAAGTCCTTCAAGGACTACAATTCCGAACCTTCAGTCCAAAACAACCACGCAGAAATAAATATCGCATTAAAAAGAGTTGAGCACTATTATTTACAAGTAAATGATCAACTTTAAATTCAATTCACATTTGAATTAAAATATTGAATCAATTTAGCTGTGCTGTAATGGCTGAAGAAATTCATTTTAGAGTTTTGAACTACACTTGATGTTGTTACCAAAGGAATATTAAGAGTATTAACCCAATTATTCCACAGGATCATCACAGAAAAAAACATGCAAAAATTGTGCCGTTAGGTGTACAACAGCTTGTACCTTTATTGGGTCATCTTTGTACCTTATTTACCCCCAAAAGATGCATAGTAGTATCTTAAGTGTATATATTACTATTCTAAGGTACAAATACGCACCTTTTAGGGGTAGATAAAGTATAAATTGGTATTAAATATAATAAGTATTAAATCCTTTTAAGGGTACTGCCCCATCAACAAGCAGCTGTACCCCCTAAAGGTACAATTTTTGCTCTTTTTTTTCTGACAGTGCACAACAATAAGAAGGCTGATAGCCATAACAGCGCTAATACATAGAGAAACCTGTAGAGCACAAAATCTGTGAGGTTTCATCAGGGTTGCAGCAATTTCAAACACCAACAGCACTTCCACTGACACTAATGGGTCCATCTTCAAGCATTCTCAATGATCAAGGAATAATCCTAAATAACATTAGAAGGGTCTCCAAATTTGGAATAACTGATCCCTTTTATGATCTTGAATGACCGTGACTCATTTTCTCTTTCATTGTCTGGATTTGAAGATGGTTTTGTCTCCACAATGCATATTTTTGATGTATGTATTAAGTTCTAAAGGAGCTGAACTGGACCAGAGAAGAATTGCCTCAAAGAAGATGTAGATGAACCCAGTGATGAAAACTCTCGGCCGGCTCTGACTCTCTCTCGTTCTCCTTCTCTCTTGCCCTCAATCTCCATTCATCTCCATCACCTTTTCTGTGAGGATTTCCCGGAAAGTCGAAAGCTGCTTCATCTGCTCTGTCTGCATCGAGTGTCGTCTCATCAGTTTCTTCTTCATCTTGAAATCTGGTCCACGTTTTGGGGACGATGGCGCAACCGGCAGCAGGATCTTGCTACCTGAGTGAACGGGGGAAGTGGGCTTTCCGTTGGCTCGGATATCAGGAATGGGTCGCTGAGGGTTGATGTTGAGAGGAGGAAGGAACCCAGGTCTTGTGTGGGAGATGTGGTCCAAAAGGAGAGTTCCTGATCCCCGCCGTTCCAACAGTCCTGTTGGACGCCGCCGCATTGTGATAGGAGAAACCGAGTTGGGAATGCTCTCCAGAGACTCTCGAGAAGAGCTGGTGAGCAGCGACAAGGGAGAGGCATTGTACTTGCGACGCTCCACTGAGACACGTCCAGAATCTGGAGATCCAGGAATGGAGGCAGGGCACAGGTGGGTGTCCGACTCGTAGTGTTCCATGCGGGTGAGTTTGGGGTGTGGCAAGCCACGGATTCCTGTCGGTGCCTGAGCCACACTGTCCTGAGTCTCAGGGGCCGTGTTTCGACGATACAATGACTGGTGCTGATGGACTTTATCTGCCCAGGAAGAGCCACACAGTGCTGCACAGTCTTCCGAACAGGACCGGTCCATCAGCTTTGGAGAAGATGGGTCATGGGTCTCAATACTGTGCCTTCGGGACAGGAGAGGTCTGCCTGGACCAGAAATTGTCACCCCATTCATCTCCGAAACCAACTTGTCCTCCTCTGCTAAATCGCCTTCTATCCGCTCCGCTCTCTCAGCAAGTACAGAAGGAGCCACCAGGCCCCACGGTTCAGAGTTTAGTCTTTTCAGAAGCTTACGGGGCGGTGGTCTTCTCTCCCCTTGTGGTCTGCTGGAGGGTAGTGGGAGTGCTGAAGTCACGGCGAAGCTGAAGATACCTTCCTCCTCCTCACCGGGGGCAGAGCCAGAGGTATGGATCTCCACCTCAGACGGAGACATGCCAGCAGGGGAGAGCTTGTCCACTATAGCCGGAGAAGGTGGGGAGTTCAGGTATTGTTTGGTCTTTTTAGTGCCAGAGGGAGATGTATCGGTAGTAATTATGATTACCTCTTTACCTTTGGCTTTGCAGGCATCCAGCAGGACCTGGAGAGTGTCCCTGTCACCCTTATTGATGGCGTGTACGAGTGACGAGGCCCCGGAGTAATCTTTCAAGCTGGGATCGGCGCCGTTTTCCAGCAGCAGTGACACCACCTCTTTGCCTGCCTGTTCTGCACACGCATGCATCAGGGCGGTCCGACCCGATTTGTCAGGGATGTTTGGGTCTGCTCCCTTCTCAAGCAGGTA